TAAAATTTCGTGAAATAATTAAACCATTATTTGCTGAAACATCGGACAGTAACGTTGAAACTAAGCTTAGAGGAAACTTGCCAAAACTAAAAAAAAATATAAAAACAATACTGACTTAGTATACTGGGACGATCTCAATGAATTGGTTGAGAGATTAAAGTTGTTAGTGGCTTCAAGAGATGCTGACAATACAAATCATGATAATGAAATATTGTCTATAATTGAAGAATTAAAAGAAGCTAGCATAATTAAGAAATAAATACTACCAACAATAGATATTTAATTCAGTATAACATATTTAACCATCGCGAACATTTACAAAATTAGTTACAAAAATCAGTTAGTAATTATACTTGAGCCAGAGATAGAAATAATAAGTAATTTAAAAAAAAATCATGAGCAAAGCAGATGTGGTAAATGAGATTCATAAAAATGCTAGGGTAAATTTTCCACGAAGAAATGTTATAATGAAAGATATAGATGATCTATGGCAAGCAGACTTAATTGATATGCAATCTGTTTCCAAAGAAAATAAAAGCTTTAAATTTATTATTGCCGTTACTGATACATTTTCTAAATATGCTTGGACCTTTCCTTTAAAAAGTAAACATAAAGAGATCGTAAGTAACACTTTTAAGATTTTGTTGGAGAGAGGGCGTGTTCCTAAAAATCTGCAAACTGATAATGGGACAGAGTTTTATAATAATAAATTTAAAAAGCTTATGCAGTGTTACAATATTAATCATTATTCTACATTCTCATCAAAAAAGGCTTCAATAGTTGAGAGATTTATCAGAACTTTGAAATCAAAATTGTATAAAGAATTTAGCTTGAGAGGTAATTATAAATGGATAAATAACACCCTTAATACTATTACTAATAAATACAGTCATACCTACCATCGGACGATGGATGAAATCCCCGCAAATGTAGATAATGCAAATAAAAAGCGCTTATTAGAAAGATATAAACGATCGGTAAAAAAAGATAGTATGAAAAGCAAGTTCAAAGTGGGTGATTACGTGCGTATTAGTAAGTACAACGGAACATTTGAAAAAGGATATATTCCTAACTGGTCTACAGAAATATCTAAAATTCGACAAATACAAAATACATCTCCTGTCACGTATTTAATTGAAGATACACTCAGAGGTCAACCTATTTTGGGCGCATTTTATGTGCAAGAACTTCAAAAGACAAAACATCACAATGTATACCTAGTCGAAAAAGTTCTTAAAATGAAAGGCAATAAGGTTTTAGTAAAATGGCTAGGTTTGTCTTCTGCTGAAAATAGCTGGATCGATAAATTGAACGTGTTATGAGAAATTAATAAACTTACATCCATATGCTTATAAAGTTAGTGATATATCAAAGTAATTCATTGTATATATTTATAAAGTGTTTCCATTATAAAAAACGTCTTATGATGTGTTTTGGAGAGAGCAGTCTTCTCAATTGGCTTATAAACCATTTACCATTAGACTTACATTTACCGGGATACAATTACTGTGGCCCAGGTACAAAATTAAATAAGAGACTTGTGCGCGGAGATAAAAGTATAAATAAATTAGACGAATATTGTAAAGAGCACGACATTGCATATCACGAGTCGTCAAACTTAAAGGATCGACATAAGGCTGACTTAATTTTGTTTAGAATGGCGAAAAAACGTGTAGTTGCGCCTGATGCAAGTACAGGAGAGAAAATTGCAGCCCATCTAGTAAGGAATGTTATGTTAGGAAAAATTAAAATCGGTGCTGGCCTAAAAAGGCCATAAGCAGAAGACTTCGAGAAAAATTGCACCAGGAAAATGACTTAAAAATAAATTAAAAAAGATTATTACTGTTACAAAAAATCGCATGAAAAAATTAAAACCAAAATGCAAAAAAGTAGCAATAGAATTAGCTATGGCTGCTGTCAGAGAACTAGCTGATGATTCATCTATTAAACTTCCTCGTGTTATTCCCACACCTAAAACTGGTGGAGTATTACCCTTGATCCCGATTTTTGCGGGACTATCAGCGGCGGGAGCCTTAGCAGGCGGTGCGGCTGGTATTGCTAAAACCATAAATGAATTCAAAATGGCTAAAAAGCTGTATGATGAATCAAAGAGACACAATGAAAAAATGGAGGCTCTTTGCATTGGAAAAGGATTACATCTTAAACCGCATAAAGATGGACTTGGTATTTTTGTATCTAAAGAAAAAAACTAAAATATCGGCTACCCAAACGAGCCTTAACTAACATCGACATTTTGAAGTATGGAAATAGTATTCCTAATTTTAGAGGTGTCTTCATGAGAGATGAGCTCCCTAAATACCCTTTTAAAAAAGAATGCGGAGTTATTAATCTAGATACATCTAAAAATCCTGGTTCTCATTGGGTAGCCTATGCAAAATGCAATGATTATATTGAATATTTTGACAGTTAGGGAAATTTAAAGCCACCGAAAGAATTTATAAAATATCTAGGCTCTAAAATCCATTATAATTACGAAAATGTACATGGCGATCGCCCTTTTAATTGCGGTCATCTTTGTTTAAAATTTTTGAGAAATTTTTGGAGTAGTAGTGAAATAAAATAACCGGGAGTTTCTAAAAGAGTTCAGTATGCAAGTATGTCTATAACAGTAACTATCTCTGGGAATAAATCAGAGTTAGAATCATATTTTCAACCACCTCTGAATTTATTAGGAAAATATGAGTGTGGTTTGTTATATTTCTCAATAACAAACTCAACACCACTTGGACAATTTAGTTCTCGTAATAAAACTCCACATCTTATCAGAATTGAATGTGATTTAATATACGGCTCCTACACTAACGGAATACCAACTCATGTTATTCACTATTTGTATTTGATAATGCTGTACTTAGAAATACCTCAAAACGTAATTTACTTTCCAGTGAACAAAAATATAATTTCGTCTAAATCTATTAAAGTTGTTGATCAGTTTGGTTACTGCATCAATTACATAGAACAGATTCAGTTGCGTCTTCATTTAAGAAAAATAAAATGATATTATATAATATAAATCCTTCGGTCAAAATTAAACGACTTCTGTCTTCTAGAACCGTTAAAGCGTATAGACGTAAGAAAAAAGTGAAAAAGTTAACCAAACCAAATAAAGATTTTCTTAAAGCCCTAGGATTTAAAGTATGAATAATGAATATCCTACAGGTAAATAATTTACCACACTTCGATACTTCAATTGAAAGTTATGAAGTTCATTCTTACAATCCCTACAACAACTGCTTCAGAGAAAACGATGAAATCAGAATTCCCATACACCAGCAAGATATATACGTGCTACCATCAGCCAGTTCAATTTATATCGAAGGTCAAGCAAAACTCTTCGGCAAAGATGGGAAACCAATTGAGAAAACTGTTACATTTAGTAATAACCCGGTTTTGTTCTTGTTTCAAGACATCAGATACGAAATGAATGGTATTGAAATAGATCGCATAAAAAATTCAGGAATAACGTCAACTATAAAGTCATATATCTCATTAAATGAAGCAGAAAATAAAGTTGCTGCCTTATGGGGTTGGAACTTAGATGGATTTAAAAATGACGGTCATTTTAATGCCGTAATACCTATGAATAAGATTTTAGGATTTGCGGAGGATTACAATAAAATTGTGATAAATTGTAAACATGAACTTATATTAAATAGAAGTAATTCTAACTTGAACAGCGTTATACTTACAGATGATATAGCACATTTCGAAATAGATATAGAAAGGGTGCAATGGATAATACCACATATAAAGTGTCAGATCGAGAACGACTGACTCTTTTAAAATATTTAGAAAAAGATAAACCTTTTCAAATGGCATTTAGAAACTGGGATTTGTATGAGTATCCTTTACTACCTAAAACCACAAAGCATTCATAGGCAGTTAAAACTGGATCACAACTTGAAAAGCCAAGATATGTAACTTTCTGTTTACAAACTAATAGAAAAAATAATAAATTTAAAGATAGTTCACTATTCGATCATTGTGAAGTAACAAACGTGACCCTCTTTTTGAATTCACAATATTATTCCTATGAGCCTCTAAGCTTAAAGCTTTCTGAGAACAAATATAGTATATTATACGAAATGTATGCCAAATTTCGTCAGTCGTACTACAACTGTCCAGTCGACCCTTTGCTCAATCTACAGGATTTCAAAGAGAAGGCTCCGCTGTTTATTTTAGATTGTTCAAGGCAAAACGATAGTCTAAAAACAGGTCCAGTAGACGTTCGGCTAGAAATTGAATGTTCAAAACCAATACCAGACAACACTGCAGCATATTGTTCAATTATAAACGATCGACTTCTGGAATACAAACCTCTGAGCAATATTGTGCGAAGGCTATCATGACTGCCATTGTAGATGTCCAAGGCTTTAAAACAGAAGCAAATGAATTTATAATAAAAGAAATTGCTATATGGTGTGATAAAAAATTGCAAGTGTTTTTAATTAAGCCACCATTTCCCTTTTACGATCTGACAAAACTAGAAAGACGGCAAGTTGGGTGGATACGACGAACGTAACAGAAAAATATACTGGGGTGAAGGATTTATACCTATTCAAATTATCAGTTAATTATTTTGGATATTCCAAAAGATAAGTGTGTTTACACTAAAGGTGTAGAAAAAGTTCTATGGTTAAAAAGTATTTTAAAAGACAATATTGTAATTAATTTAAAAGATAAAAGTTGTCCTAGTTTGTTAAGCTTGTATGATCCATATAAGTATTCTGAAGATTTGTATAGTTGTATTTATCATGATGCAATATGTGCTTTAAAAAATGTTATGTGTTTAAAAAAAATGGTGCTTTGATAATAAACTTTTTAGATAAATAAATATTTTACTTATTTCACTCAGTAAATATAGTTTCATGCCTGCTGCTGGTTCTGCTTCATCCCATGTTTTTAATTATTTTATTTCAAATAAAATAAAACAAAACAAATGACCTTATGATGGTTTAGTAGGATAGAATTGAGGCGCTCTATCCGAATTGGGGCTTCAGCATCACGAAGCTCGAGCGAGTGCAAAGTAATGCAGAACCCCAAATCTCTATCTGAATTGGGGGTTCTGCATCACGAATCTCGAAGCGAGAGCAAAGTGACGCAGAACCCCCAATTTTAACCTACTGACGTCTCCCGCACTGGTGGGAGATCTCGTTCTCATCAAGGACCCTAAAGTGCCTTCGTTGAAATGGCGTCGTGGGCGAATTCTTAAACTGTATCCGGGAGCAGACGGTATACCACGGTATGCGGAGATTAACGTCGGGGACTCCGTTTTGCGACGCGCGGTGGCATCACTCTCTCGTTTGCCAGTTGATTAGCGGACTGAGATCCCTCTGTCCGGAGCGGGGGTATGTTTAGAAAAGTAGGATATTAAAAAAGCGGGTAGTTGATTTACAACAGTTTCGCGCGACGTACCGCTCCACACAAGGTTTTGAAATCGGTCGGATATGCACGCGGTGTCATAAACCAAAATTAAGATATAATTTGTTCTGTTCGAATGAGCATATTGTCGCAGTGGTGTATTATTTTGTGTTACGGTTATTGGCTAGTTGGACTGGACTAGAGAATACGGCCGTGACCAGTGGAGCACCGGATGCTGGTTACGGAAATACGGGTTGGGACTAGACTGGTAACGTAGTTTATCAATATATTTATATACAACACATTTAGATAGGGAACATTTACACATCACAGGGTTCCGAACAGAAGACGGATCAGCCTCACTGGTAAGTGGCTAAATTCTTCTTTTGTACAGCTCCGCGCTATCGCGGACAGTTTGGGCACGGTACTATTATAATACAGTACTCCAACTTCATACAAACGGACGAAACGCGAGCTATACCTACGCGCCTCGATCTCGGGGTGCGCTCGGGGCGCAGACAGTCACGGCTGTACCGCAGTGTCGAACGGACTGTGTTGTTTTTTTAACAATAACCGCGCGATATTTTCTCTAAAAATCATTTAATATGACGAGTACGAAATATTGTGCTGTTTTTGGTTGTATGAATTCGTCAATAACGCATCCAGACATAAGTTTTTTTAAATTACCTGGAAACTCTGAAAGGTAAGACTATAAAATAATTTTACTTACTAGTAGGTAGGTACATAATGTGTGTCTTTTTAATGGATAAGTATTTCCTTTTATCTCACGAAAAAAAAGGTGTTTGGATGATTATTCATCCAAACACCTTTTTTTAAAGCAAATAGAGTAACGGAAAGTTATTGAGACGAGTGAAATAGGGAGTTATATGCGGTTCTGAATGAATCATGATACGGTAGGTACCTACCTACTTACGCTTGTATTAAAACTTCGGTGCATGTGTGATTTGTTACTTTGCATAATTCAAAGTAAAGACGTGGTATTTTATTATTAATAATATTGGTTTATTATCTGTGTGTATGAATAATACTAAAAAAAAATTTTTACCGTCTGTGTGTCATTAGACAGTTTTCGAAATTTTCACAAGGTGTTTCTGCTGCTACTATAACAACATATAAAACTAAAAACTGGTTTTATTTTCTCTGTATTAACAACAACAGCTAGAGATAGGTTGTGATTTTAAAACATTCGTAGTCAGCTGTTCAGCTTTTTAATAATTAATTAATTGGTGACCAAAGAATTTTTGTTTTGAGTAGTTGCGAGTTGTAGGTAGGTACCTAATTTATAGAGACGTTAATAAGCTGAGATAAAAAGTTACTTACTCGTCAGCTGTTTCTTGCATTCTAGTTGAGTAGGTAGGTGTTGGAGTTTCTAAGGATTGGAGTTTTGTAACGCGTAAGGAGAAAGCACATTTATTTTATTTTATAGAAGGATTTTTTTCGGTCGCAAATTTATAAGCCCGATTTGTTTTTCAAACAAGAACATGTTTTTTTAATTAAATCTACCAATCAAAAAACAACACGCATTTTTATTGAACACTTCCTATTTAATATACAAAGTGTTTCATTTATTTATATAAAAAAAGGATATTTACAATCACAAATCTAAATAGAAACAGAAAGTAGGCAAATATAATTAAAATGCTGGAGACGGGCAGCCCTAACGCATGTTTACGTACCGCGCGGCTGTAGGCATTTTTTTCTACCATGCGGCCGAGTTACAGTACTGTATTATAATTGTACCGTGGTTTGGGGTCGCGGGAGAATCCCAAACAGACACCGATGAACAATAGTGAGTAGTGATAAGCAATACAATAGATGCAGGGCTTCCCAATTGCGGGTCGCAACATTTACAATTTTTATGTAGACAAGAATATATTAGCTTTATATTTTGGTGATATGTAGCAATAACTAAAGTAAACATATAAAATAAACGTAATAAACTATTGAAAAAATTCGGGATATCATATTCGGTTTTTACTCGGAAAGTACGTGAGGACCTTCTTACCAGTATTTTACAATGTTTCACCCATACGTACTTAAATTGCTTTTCGAAGGCTAATTCCTTTACTTTCTTTAAAAGTGCCTTATTGTGCAAGGTAAGGTGATCGTTAATAAATACCTTCCCTTCTCCGTTATATCCGAGATCCAGAATGGAAAGACCCTTGTGTTGGCGCGCAGCTGCCACAAACTCCTCTTTGGTGTAGCGGTTATTTAGAGCCATTATAATTGATTTAGAAAAGTCTGACTTTAAGCTAGGTACGCGTGCAATGTAGTTGATATCTTCTTTACGTATGGTGCACTTGATATTTTTAGTGATCTTCGCTACAATATCGTATAAGTTCTCAGACTTTGATAGTGGAACTCCCTTTATTTCCACATTATTAGCACGGGCCCACTGTTCTGTATCCTGAAGATCCTCTTTAAGCTTTGCCATATCCATCGTCAAATTATCGACTGAGTTGGTTTGTGCCTCAATGTGTGAGACTGGTTACGAGAGAGCCGATCTTCGAAATTGAATCAACTGCGGTTTTTTGAGCAAAATTAACAGAATATTTAAGGTCCGAAACATCTTGCTTTATCAGCTTTACGTCTTCAACCAGGGTGGCCAAAGGGGAAAACTGTTTCATTATGGTGTCCAGGGTTGACCTCAATTCACTTAGCTGCTTTGACAGCTGGAGATTAGTAGGTGCCACCGGAGACTGTGCCGTTTTACACTCCATGCAACGCCAAGTACTTCTGCGATCTCCCAATTTTCGGAAACCTACCTCTGTGATGCCAGCACAGGCAAAATCAAGTTGGCGCTCACATATGCAACACGTCACACCATCGTTTGCGTTCTCTCCACATCTCGCACACGAAAACATGTTTATGTACTGCGGCCCCTAAGTTTGTTTACTCTGAAAATAGGCAGACAAGCGATACGTGTTCCCTCAACTATATCTCAACGACGAATGCTGTAATAGTACTATTAGTACAGTTTTAGTAGAAGTAGAAAACTTAAGCGTTTGTATTGATATTACCAACATTAATAAAACGGAATACTAATAATTAAATAAATTAAAATACGTAATTAAAAAAAAAAGTGTAATAGTTTTTTTTTTAATATAGATGGCTTTGTATTAGGCAGTTACTTTTCTTCAGTGTAGAAATAATTACACAGTTCTTGATTATTTTTAATGTGTTATCCCTTTCTGAATCCCATAAACCCTTACAGTTTGACTTTTAAATACGATTTTTTAAGCATACTATTTGATTTTCCTTCATACTTTACAACCCAACGTATTGTAGTACATCCTGTATCGCTGTCCCTTTTACTCTCACACTGTTTGCCAAATACGGAACAATAAAGCGGAGCATTAATAGTACGTCGCACAGCGAACGAACGTAGACACTAGTAGACAGAGTGAGTAAACAATAGATAGTTTTAGTACTGGCTTGAAGTTGACACTGTGTACTAATAGTGCAAAATGTCCGATTAACAGCTGCCTTTCGGAAACATTACTTTTAGTACACAACCACAATACCAGTACTAGTACCTATCAGTACATCGTACGTGTACTACCCAAGACTGTGTGACATCTGACGTTAGTCTGATAGCGAGCCTCCTTGAGAGAAGGCAAGAGCGTAGCTTAGAGGTTAAAATTTATGGTGATGGGTTTTTAAGGTAAGCATTATTAATATCGTTTCATTTTCATTTTGCAACTAACAGTATGCTTTGCATGCATTCTCTGCACTCTATATTGTTGTTAGATTTATGTTTTTATTATTGAATTTATTTTGTCTTTTACGATATTTTTTTGGCATTTTTTTAAATCTACAGTGTGAAGGTTAGTTTTATTATTTAAATTTCAAAATGAAATTGTTTAGTTGTTTTTTTTTTCTAATGTGTTCTGTTTTGGAATTAATGTTGATTTTGGCTTCTTGTACTGATCAAATTAAGTGTTAATTTTCTGGTAGTGTCGAAGTTTTGTTGATTTAGAAATGTTTACAATACCGCATCATAATATTTACATTGATGCTGTAATGGAGAACAAATTCTGTCATTGTGTACCAGTGAGTATTCTAAATATTATCATTACAATTTGGGGAAATAAACGCAATAATAGAATGGAAACAGAACCAAGAAGAAAAATTGAATTCAATTATTATTATGGTTATTGGCCACTGGTTGACCCTGACCTAGTGGTCCATGATACGTGACCTTGGCCTCATCAAATTACTGCAGTCTTATTTGCTTTTCCCCATTTGAGAATTGCGCTATTCCTGGCTCTTTCGCCCTATGCGATTTCCTTACCCGAAGGAGGGATGATATCAGGCCTTCTCTAAAAAGAGACCAGCCAAAAGTATTTGCCGAATTGTAAAAAGAAAATACTTGAAATTTACAAAAGGGCGAATTTAAATTTTATAGTTTTCATATACGAAGGGTCACTCTCACAATTAAGACAAATCTCACGACACCAACGCCAAAATCCATCGAGTCGTTTAGGTTACAGGGCATATACACGGTGATTTTGAAAGCGTTTTGGAAAAGAAAATTTTGAATTATTTATCAGTAACAGAAGCTATAAATAACGTTACGTAATAAATTAACGTTATATACGTTAATTTAATAAAATATATATTTTTTTTATCATCAAAGTCGATATTCGTATCGATCGATCGATCGATACGAATATCGACTTTGATGATAAAAAAAATATATATCGATATCGTTTACAGAGAAAAAGTGAGAACCAGTAGTAGTAGGCTATTCAATCACACGTAGGTAAATACTACGAACAGAAATACTATGCGTTTTAATATCGAGGCACATAAAATCGTATTCGCCAATAAAAACAAAGCTACCGAGTTGCGCCGGAGTCGTCCAACCAATGACGTCTGCCCCGTAGACGCATGCGCGGGACTCACCTGTCATCGTGAGGCGTCCTTCGCTTTCAGTCGGTCAGTAATACCATAACATCGTGACGGCACGCTGCATTGATAAGCGCTAAAATGAGTCGACAGTACGAATTTTCAAACGTGGAATACTTCTTGGCAATGGTAATGGTACAGCTGTACGCTACTGCCAACTACAACTTGGAAGAGGCTCGGCGTTTGTATTCCCAGCCGGAGTATTTAAATGCACTACGGCTACGTGGAATTGAAAGCCCTCAAATTCCCTCTACACCTACCATCTTGGCTGCAACCCGACGTCTTCTCGACCACGGACAATTTCGTGCGCCTACTCACGCGCAAGGTCAAGGACGTTTAAATTATTATTCGCCGGAGTGTAGTGCGTGCATACCTGGACAATGAGTTTAGTGATCGGTGGATAGGTCGAGGAGGGCCAGTGCCTTGACTACCTAGAAGCCCGGACTTAACGCCCCTGGATTTTTTCTTATGGTCGGAAATAAAAATACTTGTTTATACACGGGAATATGAAAGCCGTGATAATTTACGCATTGCGATAGTGGACGCTTTTGATAAAGTGAAAAGTGATAGAGACACATTAAGAAAATTAAAAAACAATTGCATTAAACGTGGACGTTTGTGTATTTATTTATTTATTTATTTAAAACTTTATGCACAAATGTGGCAAAGGCGGACTTAATGCCGTAGGCATTTTCTACCAGTCGACCTTAGGGCGATGCAGAGCCAATACATTTTTTCGGCGGTAGGTGTAGAAAATTATAGACGTGTCGTAAATCTCGTAAAATTGAATTTAAGTTATATTTATTGTAACTTTTGCCTAATTTTATATCTTGGGAGAAGTAAACACAGTCTATGTGCTGGTACTTAAAAAAACTCATCTTTGATGAACATTTAACACGTTCCCTGCGCCATCACTTTCAAAAAACTTTCAGCTGGTGCTTTGGAGACCTAAAAGATCTCCAAACTAACCTACCATTTGGTGCGTTTGAGACCTAATCGGTCTCCTAAAGATACAGTTTTCAAAATAGTTTATATCTTCCAAAAAAACAATCAAATATATTTTGAAGTTTTTGTGGGTGAAAGATAGCCTATTGCTTTATATTTTGCTAGGTTCGCACGCAGTTATGACATTTGAATAAACTACAAATACCAAAAAAAAAAATGATATGGATTGTATCTCGTACCGCAACGGAAGATAGTTCAAAATGTGTAGTAAGTAGTGATGGGAATAAAATAATATCTCAGTTGTCGATTGAAAAAGTTTTATTCATTATGCAAAGTGTTTTTCATTAAAACATGGTAAGCACATTGATTGCTTGCATTGCGCGCAAATGGTAACAATTCGTTTAGTTTTTTTAGAAACGTCAGTGCTGTTTAATGTGCGTCGTAATTTTTCGTAACAACCCACACAACGTCTTTTTTTGTCGCCACGTTGGAAAACATGATCAGTACATCTTCCTTCGGGTAATTCTGTAATAAAGTGCATAGTATAAATAAACAGCATGCAACTATGTCAGTGAAGTAAATGCGATGGAATCTAATTTTATTAGTTTCGTTATTCGAGTGTCTTATGTATATTTTTGTTCTTAGGCTGTTGTTGCTTTAAAAAAATATACGGAGGTATTAAATATAAAGCTGGATGTCACAGGTCTCTTGTCTCAAGTTTACTATAACAACGTATTTTGTTTTAATAACCGAAATTTAGGCTACCCGAAACTTACCAGAGAGTGATGTGAACCCCCCCCCCCCCCCCCCCCTGTGTAGTATAACGCTTACATAATTAAAACACTCTAGCATTAGAGATAAGTAGGAAAGCCCACAAGAAATGCTACTAAGCTAAGACAATCTCAAAAACAACCAAAAATTTTCAGGCAATCAACAGAAGAAGTAGGTACATAACGCGTTTCAAACACAAAAAAATTAAAACCACGTAATATCGAAAAAAAGGCAGGCAGATATTAGTTGGAAATAAAGTCTCCCCTCTTTAATTTATGTTATTTGTATTGTATCCAAGAAGATTTTTGTTCAGTAAACTCGAATGATTAAAGTGCATAATATGCTCAGTTTCATGCAAAGCGTGCTGCAGTTAGTTGACGATGCTAAGCTTACGCGTTGTCTGGAACCATTACCTAAGTTTCTGGAGAGATTTTAGCTACCTTTATGAGTAAGAACAGTTTGTTTTCGAAGAACTGTTAGGTATGTTGACCACGGCAATCTTCTGACACCACCACGCTCGCCATCGGATTTATCCGCATACCCTTGAACCTAAACGGTTATGTTTAGAACAAATTAAGATGTGTTTCCTCAAAAAAATGGACTACAACATGATACCTACTCTGCAAAAATGGTGAGAAAAACGCAGTAGGTAAGTACACAAGTATGTGTCTAGTATTTTGAGCACTCTTAGGCAAGAGGGATGGCCTAGTGTATCTGCTTTACATTAGATATCATGTCACAAGAAACCTGCAGGTTTTATATACACGCTTGTTGTCACACGAGTTGTATTAAAAATAGTAATTTGTGCAATAGTAAGTTAATCATACCTGTTCCAGAAATTTTTCGGCCTCCGAATGTTTCGATTATTGATTCTGTGAATTCTTTTTTTGACATTTTCTTGTCTGTATTTGCATTGTATATTATCCATGCGTTTATGAGTGCAGTACCAAATAAAAATTCCATCATCACTTTCCGATACCACTTTAGACCTCGTCGTAAAGTAGTATAGTATGCCGACATTTGATCTGAGTAGTCTATCCCTTTTTTATTATCATTATAAGTTAAAATGCACAGTGGCTTTCTGATCATTTCATTAGTTCTCTTATGTATCTTACCTGTATCTACTAGAGACGCTTTATGTGCTTCACAGGAAGTTATCATTGAAACTTGGCGCTTATCGTGCCATTTAATAACTTTCACACTACTAGGCAGCATTATCCCTTCAACTTCGCCTTTTTTCAATTTTTTAGACATAAATTGCTTGGGAAGTCCTCTTCGGTTTGATCTTAGCGTGCCACAGTAAATATTTTCGTTTCTAAGAGTTCCTCTACTAAATCAAGAGAAGAATAAAAGTTATCGGCTACTAAAACTCGTCCTTTATTTTCTAGACCCTCTATGAGCTTCATAACTACATTTTTTCCATAGTTCACTTCTCTGCTATTTCCTTCTTTACCTGTATATCCTATGGTTTTAAAAGTGTACCCCTCAGGAGTACATAGTTTATATAATTTAACTCCATATTTATGCGATTTATTTTTGATGTATTGGCGAAAAATAAGTCTCCCGCGCCAGGGAATCATTGATTCGTCTATCACGATAAATTTTCCTGGAGTTAAAATATCTCTAAAACGATTATTTAACATATTAAGTATTTGTCGAATTTTGTAGAGTCTATCTTCAGTATCATTTCTTTCATCGCTGAAATGCCAAAACTTTAGAAGCAAGATAAATCTATCTCTTCCCATGAGAGAGCATATATATTCATTTCTGTAAATGGATTTCTTTGACCAATAATCGTGAAAATGTAGAACCTTATTTAAGCCCATCATAAGTATGACACTGAAAAACTGACGCATTTCATTTGCATCTGTAGGTTTCCAAGCTTTAGAGCGTGATTTTGCTGTAATTTCTTTTTCTAATAAATATTTATCTGCGTATTTATTAGTTTCTTCTACTATTTTATCAATAATATCGTCAGTTAGAAACAAACTATAAATATCGACGGGCAATTTATTACGAATAGGTACATTTGTCACGCTATCAAGTATGCTCTCATCGAAGCTCAATACGTCATTGTCGGGAATGTCAATCCAATCTTTATCACCCTCAAGCTCTCCACCCTCACTTTCTGATATATTTTCAGACATATTATCTTCATCTTCACTTATTATATCGGATGAGAGATTTTCACCTGTATCATCATCACCTCATTTGAAACGATTTCTTCTATTTCAGTATTGGTTGCTTCATCAGTCTGCGTCTCCGGAGCGTCTTCTTGTATTTTTTCGTTTTCTACGTCCTGATCTAGTTCTTTCACTTTTTCATTCTGTATTTCTAGACTTCTATTTTGCTTATTCTGGTCTTTTTCTTGTCCTATTATATTATTTTCTTGTTGCTTTTCAGTGTTTCTCTCTTCTAAATGTTTTTGTGAATTATTGTTCAAGTTGCATTTAGACGTTTTTCTTTCTGCTTTTTCGTCATAAGTGAGCGCATCATCCTCAAAAGTATACTCAAAAGAAAATGGACTATTGTTTGTATTACCTGTGGTTCTTCTTTCCTTTATAGTTGTTTTAATCAATTTTTGCATACTGCTTTCATTAAATTCTAAAGGTAATAAGTTCGAACATGAAATATTATTCAAAGACGAGCACCTACTTGATGTACATAAAGCATTCAATGAGGCAGAAGCTTTAGCATTTGTGTTGGATGTTTCTGTTAGCATTTGAGTGCACGAGCTAGGAGTAGATAAACCACTATGGTTACGAGAAACAGTACCACAAAATCTACGAGTAGGTGTCATAGGATCAGTAGGTATAGTCGGTGTAATATTCGTCATCAATAATTTGGTATTATTGTTACTACTTTTTGGACTGGATATCGTATTCTGAAGCACACTAAATCGTTTTCCAGTACATGGGCTGATATATATTATTTTCATTACTTAGCTGCGTGTGCTCCAACGTAGAAAGGTTCACCATTTTCTTTTTAGGTGCGTCAAATATTTCATAATCAGAATCACTGTCATTATTAGCCAATGGAGGGCAAATTTGAACATTTTCCAAAATTTTATTTTACTGGACGATGCAGCAGTATAATCCGGCGTTGATTTTTTGTTGGAAATCTCACCAAAATAAATAGATTTTTTACACTTTTTTCTTTTAAAAGCACTCATTGTATAACAAAAATGATAATCAACACGTAGGTATATACGCGAGTGTTATTTCGCAAACGTGCGCGCGACCTCCCACGTCGATGCTAGGGACAACACTAAAACGAGTCACGCAGCGCCCACGCCGCCCACCTTCCCTCTCTTGCGTCTACGAGGCGTACGATTCCACGAGTACCGACATATCTTCTAACGCAAGGAATGAAAATAATTACAGTACTGTGCGTTAGGGACCTAATCCATCTCTAATTTCTTTTTTAATGTCCTTGAATTCATCTTTAAGTAGGAAGCAAATATGTATATTTGTCCTACTCATACCTAAAGAACTTTACACGTTAGATCCTCCCGCAAGGAGTGAAACAACACTATTATATTCTACGCACAATACAAAAGTCCTGCAAGAGATCTGATAGATCTCGTAATGCAACAAACGTTTTAATGTGATATAAGCCAATAAATCGACACCACCTGCCAGCGCATCGCTTTACAGTGTTTAACAATTTATTTTATATTATAAACAATCAAGAATGTCGCAGTTCTCTGATATATTATCGGCGCAGAGGACACTTGAGGAGATATTCGCGAAGAAGATGTCTGATCTTGAAACTCAGATACAAAGTGCCGGTCCTGCTAAAGACACTGTGGCCAAGGTTGCGGAGGAATTCCGAACTTTTCGGGAATTAATTTTTTCCATGTTGGGCATGCTTCGGAAACAAATCGGTGAATGCTCCAGACAGATTGACACCATAGAAACCAGACAGCGGCGTAAGTCACTAATCTTCTTGGGTGTCGAGGAAGCTGAGAAGGAAGACTGTAGGAGTGTCGCAATACAGGTCATAAACAGCAAGTTGGGCCTGAGGGATATACCTGCTTCCTCCATTAAGGTCTGCCACCGACTTGGAGTATCGAATAAAGAGCGTCAGCGGCTTATACTTGTTAAGTTTTCCACCATGGATGACAGATCGTCAGTTTGGAAGGCTAAATAAAGACTCAAGGGTTCCTCTATAACTATAAAGGAGTTCCTGACAAAGAACAGGCAATCCATATTCGCCAAGGCCCGGCTACATTTCGGTGTCCCTGCGTGCTGGACTCAAGATGGTATCATAGTCATCAAAGTCCCTGGTGGAATCCGGCACAGGATCACGACCATCGACGATCTGAACCCGCTGCTGGTGAAATATCCAAGGGCGCAAACGACTTCCTCAAAATCCTCAAAGCCTGCAGGAGAAAGTAAGTCTGATAACTAAATTCAATTTAGCAGTGACATTTAGCATTCACTTAATAGTAATATTTACAATATAATTATACCACCTCATAATTATTCCTTGTATACAAGACCCTTAGCCCATTTCGTATACATATCTTTCAATTGTTTTTATTCGTGTAGTTTTCTAACCTTTATTTTCTTATTGTTTTATCCATTTTTTGTTCATTTTGACTTGACGTTTTAGGTGTATCACTAAAGAGTATAGAGTAGCATAGATTAAATATTTAATCATTCACTCATTTCGGTCACTGCTGTTCGGATACGCTGCGCGTAATATAATATCTGATATTGACGGTGAATCATAGTCTGTATTAACACCTATGTTTTCTTCACACTGTTATGAATTGCATTAAATTTTTTTTTTTTTCTGTTCAAACTTTTTCTAGTGATGTAAGCTGGCGGGTGGTGCAGAGATACAAGCGCTGTACCAGAACATCGGCACGCACATAGTTAATCGATATATATATATATATATATATATATATTATTTTTATTATAATTAGCATTCAGATAGTGAATATTATGTTTCTGCCAATGAATCTGAAACCTCTTTTAGTGATGATAGCTTCTCTTCCGTAACAGAAACTCTCGGTGGTGTTTTACGCAACAAATTTAGTAGTAACACAAACAGCCAACTATTTAATGTGTGCCATCTAAATGCCCAAAGTGTTCCTAGCCACTACACTGATTTGTATGACGCATTTTGTGATGCTAATATTCATGCCGTTCTGATCTCCGAGACTTGGCTCAAACCGCATCTTCTCTCCACCTCTTACTCCCTGCCCGGCTTTATTCTTATCCGGAACGATCGGATCGGAAAGGGGGGAGGTGGCGTGGCTATTTACCTACGGAGTGACTTTTCCTATAGAATTATATCAGCTTCCTCTTCTCATTATAATGCTTCTGCTGAATTCCTATTCTTAGAGGTTTGTGTCAAAGGCGCTAAGGTTGTACTCGGTGTTGTCTATTGTCCCCCTTCAATTGACTATTTCACTAATTTCGAAACAGTTCTTAAATCTCTGGGTGCAGAGTACGCTCATCATGTCATCATGGGTGATTTTAATACCAATCTCCTAGCCCGAAACTCCACTCGTTCCTGTAAACTCCAACTCCTTCTTGAGTCGGTCAGCTTTCTTGTTCTGCCATTACAAGCCACTCACCACAATAATGTCAGCGAGGACACTTGGCTCGACTTAATTATTACCTCTAATCCTTCCCTTGTTCCTCTCATGGTCAGCTTGACGCTTCCGGATTTTCACATCATGACCTGATTTTCCTCTCCTACGTTCTCAAATCTCCTAAACCCAAACCTAGAATTCTTTACAGGCGTTGCTTTGGACGAATGGATATTGACAAATTGAATGACGATGCGTCACATATTGACTGGACATCCCTGATCGATTCTACTTCTATCGATGACAAGGTGCATTTATTTAACGAAATAGTGACTAAACTGTACGAAATTCATGCACCGGTTAAAAAGGTTAGGCTTAAACGATTGCCAGCACCTTGGATGACCAGGGGTATACAGATGGCCATGAGACGTCGAGATCGGGCATTTAGGACTTATAAGAGGGACCGTATCGAAGTCAACTGGCAATTGTACAAGTCTGCAAGGAATCGGTGTACCCAAGTAATACGGAACGCTAAACGCCGCCACATTCTAGATAATATTTCCTCTTCATCTCCTGCCGACATCTGGAAGTTCCTTGGGACTCTTGGTATCGGCAGATCGCGACATGTGGACTTTCCAAAATCCATAAATCTCGATTCCCTAAACCAACATTTTACCACCTCTCTCACGTTGGACATTGTATCTGAACATAACACCCGTACTTATATAAATAGTCTACCGCGCCCTAACTTAAACCCTTTTCACTTCAGTCCGGTTGCAGAAGGAGAGATTAAGAAGATTATTCAATCTATCAGATCCCAAGCAGTTGGTTGTGATGGCAATAGTCGGAAAATGATCACCACATTGCTGGTCCACCTCCTTCCCGCTATCTCCCATATTGTTAACTTTTCTCTCATGTCTGGCACATTTCCTTCTCTCTGGCGGAGAGCGTATGTGCGCCCTTTACCTAAAACTCCCAATCCGTCTCTTCCCACACACTGTCGTCCAATTTCTATCCTTCCCTTAATCTCCAAGGTGCTAGAGGCCTGCGTCCACAAACAGTTCTCCCACTTCATTTACAGTAACAACTTACTCAGTCCCTTTCAGTCAGGGTTTCGACCAGGCCATAGCACGGCATCTGCTCTTCTTAAAGTGACTGGCGATATTAAGGTGGGGATGGAGAATACTAAGGTTACTACCTTAGTACTGGTTGATTTTTCGAATGCCTTCAATACCGTCAGTCATGAACTTCTCCTTGCTGTCCTATCCCATTTCTCGGTCTCTCCAGATGCACTGGGCTGGTTTTCCTCTTACCTTCGGGATCGTCAGCAGTCAGTCAGTGTCGAAGATTCTTCCTCTAGCTGGTGTGATCTTACTGCTGGCGTCCCTCAAGGCGGTATTCTTTCACCTCTTCTGTTTTCTATCTTCATTAATCTTATCATCCCAAGACTTCAGTGTTCCTTTCATCTCTACGCTGATGACTTGCAGCTATACTACCAGACAGAGTTGTGCAATGTATCGTCCGCGACTTCGGCTATAAATAGTGACCTGGCAGCCATTAAACACTGGTCTGATATGTTTGGCGTATCGGTCAATCCAAATAAATGTCAGGCTATTGTCATCGGGAGTAACCGAGCTATGAGCCAGCTCGATCTTGCTTCACTTCCATCACTTACCTACGATGGCATGGTTATTCCATACTGTGAGAGTGTGAAAGACCTCGGAGTGTATATTGACACAACTCTGAGCTGGCGACAACAAGTTGCATCTGTGTGCCAGAAAGTGACAGGTTCGCTGCGGGCCCTCTATAGACTTAGAAACTTTCTTCCATCGAAAACTAAGGTAATGCTTGTTCAGTCTCTTATATTCCCTATAATCGACTATGGTGATATGTGCTACTTTGACCTGAATGCAGATCTGCTCAATAAGCTTGACCGTCTTCTCAACAATTGCATTCGATTCGTTTTCAATTTACGCAAATACGATCACGTGTCTCAGCATCGCTCTCATTTGAAATGGCTTCCAATTCGCCAACGCAGACAGACACGAGCATTAACTACCCTATATTCTTTACTCTTTTCCCCAAATTCTCCTTCCTACCTCACTTCTCAAATTCAATATCTAGGTGCAAACCACACTAAAAATCTTAGATCTTCAGACAACCTACTTCTTCACTGTCCGACTCACTGGTCTGACTTCGTACATTCCACTTTTTTGGTACAATCTGTCCTGTTATGGAACGCGCTCCCTCTCGAGATCAGGATGGCAAAAACTCGGCAAACATTTAAATACCTGTTGCGGCAACATTTTTTAAACACACTGTCAAATCCATCTTAATTTTATACCCTCTCCATTTAGAATTTATATTATGTGTATTTAAGTATATAAATGCATATGTATGTATATTTATGTATTATGTGTATTAGTATTATATGTGTATTACTTATTGTATTTATCTTTAAAATTATTCCAATGTTATTTATATAAGTACTCTGGTTATATGATATTCTATATATGCTATAGTTTTAATAAATCACATTTTTAATTTCTGTGCATCTACCACGTTTGGCCAAATGTATTGAATGGAGCGGACTCCATTTTGAGCAGTTCCTTCGATACAGAGAAGTGCAAATAGTGTAAATAGGTATGTAAGTTAATTATTCTGTAGATAGCTCCGATTTTTTAAATACGCCTGAAATATTTATACCTACAGTCCGTTGATAAATTGATTTGTTGTGAAAAGAACAATCGTGGTTAATAATCGAAAAGAAGTTTCAATAAAATAGGTATTTCCGACGGTCCTAAGCCCGTGTAAAGTATGAAGGACAAATTGGAGTCTATCTACGTGAGTACTCGCTAGCTCGCGCCTATAGGTATACTTTTATCAGCTGCTGTTAGCGTCAGCGTTGCGCAGCGGCCGCCGAAACGCCCACGGACGTGTTTCATTCATATAAGATAATGAATGACTGATCAGTCCATTACTACTTTCCAAGTCGATCGAGTAAAAATGAATATTAAAACTGAAACTTTTTTTTAGACAACATTACAATTGATTTAATCATTTTTATTGGTACTATAGATGATTCCAAATTAAAATGTTTCGTTTCCAAAACGCCTATAAAATCACCGTGTATAATATAAGAAATATACACACATATATATATATATATATATATATATATATATATATATATATATATATATATATATATATATATATATATATATATATATATATATATATATATATATATATTTCTTATATTATATACATGTAGTTATTATCTCTTTTATATTTGTTAGTAAGTAACCTGAAAAACTCATTTCACCATCAACTACTACTATCTCTCCCGAACATTTTGATCCATCCTAAGGTTGCCTGGAAGAGATTGCTCTTAGCAATAAGGCTGACCTTTGAACATTGTATATCTTACACTTTCATGTAACTATCATGCTTCTTGTAAAATGGTGTACAAATAAAGAGTTCTATCTATCTATCTATCTATTCATATCTTCTACCAGAATACTGATGAAGCCTTCCAGCTGGATATGAACACAAATGTGTTGGAGCCTCTGAAAGAAAAGCCTCCTCCGCCTCCGACTGAGGACGGAGAGGATGAACTTCTTGGGAATGTAAGTTATCTTTTTCCTTCTTTTTATCATATGTGAATATCCTGGTGTATGTTTATCAGATTAAGATGAATTATTAATTTTAGAAGAATTTCATAAATTCTAGAAGATTAAAGAATTATTTTTGTAAAAATAGATCTATACAAATCTTTAAAAAAAAAAGTAAACAGTAAAAATATTTACAAAATGTTTTCAGTACAATTACTATTATATGTTAACAAGAAAAAAGCATTAGTTTAAAATAAAAAATCTTTAACTACTACAGCTAATTAGAAAACGTTTTAAACCTTTATCTGTATTTCATTCTGGTATAAAATAATTAAATTTTAATACCCAATTATTATATAACCCAGTATAATTTTTGATAAATTACGAATGATCATCACATCAACAGCTTTTAATAGACCACTGCTGAACATAGGCCTCACTTTAGAAAGGAGGTTTTGTCCTACTATACCACGCTGGCCAGACGGGTTGATATAGGGTTTGTGTCAATCGCCCTTATCGTGCGGTGCGTCAAAAGCTCCGCACGTCGGGCCCCCCCCTTACGGAGACTCTCCAGCCCAGCTTCCTGCAGGGAGTGGTCGAGGGCCTATTCCCGCAGCGGGCGGAGCACACACCCCCGTCGATGGCTGCATCGGCCGGAGACGACGGGGGCAGCGAGGTTGACGTTCCGCCCGTCAGGGAATCGGAGTTGGGGGCGGCTGTTCTACGGATTAGATCCAAGAACACTGCCCCCGGGCCGGACGGGGTTCCAGCCCGAGTGATGGCCCGAGCCCTCGACTACATGTCGGACCACCTCAGGGAAGTGTTAGACGCTAGCCTGGCGTCCGGACGCTTCCCTGAGCGCTGGAAATGCGGGAAGCTGGTCCTGCTGCAGAAGCCGGGTCGGCCTGCCGAATCGGTCGCGGCCTATAGGCCTATCGTGTTGCTGGACGAGGCGGGTAAACTTTTTGAGAGGGTGCTCTCTGCCCGCATCGTCCGGCACCTTTGCGAGGTTGGCCCCGATCTGTCGGACGCCCAATTCGGTTTCCGAGAGGGGCGTTCGACGATCGATGCCGTAATGCGCCTTAGGGCCGTGACCGAGGAGGCCGTGAGCTGCGGCGGAGTGGTGTTGGCGGTGTCCTTGGACATCGCCAACGCCTTCAATAGTCTGCCATTCAGCTGCGTCAGGGAAGCGCTCCGCTACCACGGAGTGCCGGAGTACCTGAGGCGGCTGGTGGCAGACTATCTTGAGGAGCGAACCGTCATGTACGAGGACCGAGATGGCGTCTTGAGACGCAGGGCCATGTCGTGCGGTGTTCCGCAGGGGTCTGTCCTAGGACCTCTCCTGTGGAACATCGGGTACGACTGGGCCCTACGAGGGCGTCTCCCCCCCGGGCTGGGTGTAATCTGCTACGCGGATGACACCTTGCTCACGGCCCGGGGGGCTAACTTCCAGGAGGCGGCGCGCCTGGCCGCCACGGGAGTTTCCCTGGTGGTCGGGCGCATTGAGACGTTGGGTTTGCGGGTGGCCCTGGATAAGACGGAGGCCCTATTATTTCATGGGCCCCGTCGTGGTCCACCCGCCGGCGCCTCAATCGAGGTCGGCTCGGTCCTCGTACCGGTCCGGGCCCAGATGAGGTACCTGGGTCTGGTCCTAGACGGTAGGTGGCTCTTCGACGAGCACTTCCGACAGCTTGGTCCGAAGCTGGTGGACACTGCCTCCGCCCTAGGGCGACTTTTGCCCAATTTGGGCGGGGCCAGTGTCCCCACGAGGCGGCTGTACGCGGGGGTTGTCCGGTCCATGGCGCTTTATGGTGCACCAGTGTGGGTGGCGGCTCTGACCGCCCCGAATAGGGCGCGCCTCTGGCGCCCCCAGAGGATATTGGCGGTCAGAGCCATACGCGGATACCGCACGGTGTCCACCGAGGCGGCTTGCGCCTTGGCCGGAACACCCCCGTGGGATTTGGAGGCGGAAGTGCTCGCCGAAGTTTATCGGCGAGTGGCTGACTTCCGGGCGGAGAGCGGATTTCGCCCTCCGCCCGAAGACGTGCGCGAGTGGCGCGAAGCCGCTCGCCGAGCCACCATGGTGAGATGGTCGTTCCGGCTGGAGACTCCACGCGCTGGCTTCGCCGCCGTGGAGGCTCTCCAGCCGGTCATCGCCGAGTGGGCAGGGCGGCAGCACGGGACCCTTTCCTTCCGGCTGACGCAGGTGCTTTCCGGGCACGGTTGCTTCGGAAAGTACCTGTACTCGGTCGCTAGGAGGGAATCGAGTCCCGCCTGCCACCACTGCGACTGCAGTGAGGATTCGGCCCAGCACACGCTGGCGGTTTGCCCCGCATGGGCGACGCAGCGCCGGGCCCTTACTGCAGTCATCGGAGCAGATCTCTCGCTACCGGCCGTAATTCGCTCCATGGCCGGTAGCGACAGTTGTTTTACCGCGGTCGCAACCTTCTGCGAGGAGGTAATCTCGCAGAAGGAGGCGGCGGAGAAGGCCCGGGAGGACGACCTCCACTCGGACCTGATCCGCCGCCGGCGAACCGGGCGGCGGAGGCGCGCTTACCTGCGCCTCATGCCGCCCTGAGTGTGGCCGCGGGTGGACGGGATGGGTTCTCCCCTCCACCCGCATTAGTTGGCCAGCCGCGAGGGGGCGGCGTCCGCGTGTGCCGGACGTCGCCTAAAGAGAGGAAAGATCAGAGACGGGGCCCGCAACAGGAGCGGGCCGGCGCTGGGAGGGGTCCAGAAGGCGATAACTACCTGGACCCCTCCTACACTGGAAGCGCAAAGAGGGCACACCGTGTGGTTTTAGTCGGTTCGAGTCCGACACACCGCCCCGCCGAACGAGAGCCCCGGCGGGGTGACGGTCCGAGGGGATTTCCACACGTAAAAAAAAAAAAAAAAAAAAAAAAAAAAAAGGGTTTGTGTCAAGTTTTCCTTCTTTTTGCAGTGCTGCTGTCCTGCGTAGTTTGCTCCCTTAGTAGCTCTTACGACACCCATGTGATGAATAGGGGTGGTGACATTCCGTATTCTTAATCCGTCACCACACGGATGGCCCAAATTATGAATATGAATTTAAAACTAAGGGAGCAAACTATAGTATTTATAAGAAAATGATCTATATTCCTAATTTCCTATTACTCGTAAAGTAGTATATAGAACAGAACCTCTGCAGCCTAATATTGTGTAACATGTATTCTTCTATCAGGGCAACTTTAAGCATACAAGCTCAGCCCGCCGCATCAAGAAGGCAATACGGAACAAGCGTACTAGCTTCCTTGGAATCGAAGGCCAAGTAGACGACTCCTACCTAGACGTAGATCTCACTCTTGCACCAAGACCAGACATCACCTCTTTCCTGCAAGAAGAGACCAAGATTGAGAAGCTTCTGTATAAGAAGACTCTCTCTCACGATATGGATGCTAAGTTAAGAGATAGCAGAGATTCTGGTGTCGACGTAGACAGGGGTCCGTCGGCTGAGGCTTGGTATAAGGGACATTCGTCACCAGAGACTTCGAATCCTCACAGCAGACAGAATAGTGAGGTATGTTTCATGAATCAATATTTCGTAAGCACAAACATGTCCTTGAGAAAACACACACATTGCTAACAATAATTTAACTTTTTAATGGTATGGTATGGCAAACCTGTAAACGGGTCTCCTGATGGTAAGTGACTACCGCCGCCCATAGATGTAGGCAACTTAAGAATCACAAGTTGCGTTGCTGCACTGAGTCCTTCCCTCCAAAACCAGGGAGAGGGAGGAGGGGTGTTTTTAAAGCTCCAGTTAACACACTCCCTCGGTGAATATTAACGAAAAAACACTGACTGCAACCATCTTCCTCCAAGCCTTTTCCCAAACTAGGTTGGGGTCGGTTCTCAGTCTACTGGGGTGCTAGGCTAGAAAACCTCCCCGTGGTGCACCCTGGAAACGCTGGCGATGGCACTGTTTCCTCCTTGTCCACTTGGAGGAGAGGATTATCGCCAGCGGCTAATATTCTAGCAGAAGAGGAAGCCATTCATCGGCTCTCGGGCAAGGCCTGGTCCAGCAGGGTGGGCGTGTCTGCCGGTTGCCCTGCTGGCTCTTCGCTCTTCGGAGCATGGAGGAGGAAACCTCGGTAAAAAACCAGAAGGTGGGGCCCTATAGGGGCCAGTTTCTCCGCTGTTAGCGGTGGAGAAAGGAGGACGGGCTCGGCGTGTACTGACACTACCACCGAGCAGGCAGGGGGACGTAGTCTCCTTGTCACCGTTGGCATATTGTAATCCCGAGAAGAGCGCTGTGGTCAAGTCTCGCGGCTCTGATCGGGGGCGAGGGTCTCGGCTTAACCGCCCGGACCGCGAGGATGTAAACCTATCTAAAAAATTCCCCGAATCCCGTGTTCTGGTGCGTGGCCAGGGGATGCATGGCTGATGGGTAGTTCAGTCGTAAGCGCACTCCCAGCCGGGGCTCTTGCGGACCCCTCGGTTGGGCATAAATTTACGCTTACCCGGGTATTGGGGGATCTCTGCCCGGGTGGACCTTTAGTTCTCCCCCACTCGTGGGTATATTATGGAAAATAAACTTAAAAATAATTCAACTAAAGGAAATTCGAAACCAACAACGACAAAGGCGAGCATACTGGAAAAGGAAACGGTGGGATACAAGGAGAGGGAGGAGTCGAAGAGGAGGAGTGGTGTAGTGGATCTGGCGTCCACTGAGGGTGAGGTGGTGTTGGGAACGCCTATCTCGGTAGGGCTCCCAGTAGTAGTCTGTAGTAGACTGACTGCTGGGAGCCGAAGATCGGAGCGCTTGCGCTCCAAATCTGCCACGACTGGCGTGGGTGAAGGCCCCAGCGAGAGGACGAACAGCGCGGAGCGCATGGAGGTGGAAGCGGGACCGAGCGAGAGCCGCAAGAGGGAACCCTCTTGCGGCTCTCGCTCGGTCCGAGGGATGGGGAAGAACACCCGTCCGTGGAGTCTGGGCCTCCTAAGGGCGGCCGTATAGGGAGGTCGCGTACCCCTGTCCCCGTCCCGTCAGGCTCCGCCTTCTCCAAGGCGGAGTCTTACAGGCGTGTCCGAGCGGACGGGGAAGCCGTAGCGGAGGAGGAGATCGCTGATCTCCTGTTAAAAGTTAGGGAGCCGGTGGAGGGAGATGCCCTCCGGGCTCCCGTGTCTGTGCAGGAGAGGGCGAGAGCGGCGGTGGCTATCATCCAGAAGGTAGCCACCAAGTCGGTTAACCTTAAGGGCTCTTTTGTGAGGGCCCTTAAGGACTCCTCCTCCGCTATGTCGGAGGTCGTGGAGGGCCTAGTAGGCGACGTTTCTCGCCTACAAATGGCCAATGACAGGCTGACGGAGCAGGTGAACGAGCTGAGCGCTCAGTTCGCCCGCTTCCGGGCGAACCTCCCCGAGCGGGGGGCCCCGTCCACGCCTCAGCCTGTCCCTACCGCGACCTCAGGGGTACCTGACGCCCAACTGCGGTCAATTCTTGACGCAGTTGGGCGTATGCTGGACGGCCGTCTGGCCGGTCTGGAGGCGATACTGCCCCCTGCGCCGGTCGTGCGTCCCCCGCTCGCGTCGTCGCAGCGGCCTAAGGCTGCTGCACCGACTGCGCTTCCTGTTGTGGGAGGCCGCGTCTCATACGCGACGGCGGCGTCGGCTCGTCCACCACCGGCTCCCCAGGCACCGGCCCAGGCGCCAGTCAAGACGCCGGCCCAGGCACCCGCCAAGAGTAAAGCGGCGAAGAGGAGCGGAGTGGCTTTCCCTCCGCTCCCAACTCCGACATCCCTGCCGGGCCCCTCCGCACCTGCCCCCTCCAACGAGGGTTGGCAGGAGGCGAGGGGCTCAAAGAAGTCCCGAAGGCGGGCTAGAATTGCTGCCCAAAAAGCGGCCCAAGCCCAGCCTTCACCACCGGTGACAACGGCCTCTACTAAGAGGCCGCGGAAGCTGCAGCCGCCCAAAACCGCGGCTGTAGTAGTGACGCTGTCGCCGGAGGCGGCCAGTGGCGGGCTCTCGTATGCGGCCCTCTTCAAGGGGGCCAGGCCCGGTCTCGCCACTGAGTTCGGGGCGGCGGGGATGAGGCTGCGCCGCGCCCAGACGGGAGCTCGAGTATTCGAGTTCCCTGGGGCTGAAGGCGCGACGACGGCCGATAAATTCGCCGAGAAGTTGCGGGGTATTTTTGCCAATACGGACGGTGTGAAGATCGCCAGGCCCACTAAATGCGCAGAACTGCGCATCTCGGGCCTGGACGACTCCATCACGTCAGAGGATGTTCGCGATGCAGTCATGGAGAAGACTGGGTGCACCGCGGACACCATCAGAATCGGCACTGTCCGTCCGGGTCCGGGAGGCCTCGGTGCGGTGTGGGTGAGCTGTCCCGTGGCATCGGCCAAAGCTTTGGGCGACGCCGGAAGCATTCTCGTCGGCTTCGTGAATGCCAGAATCACGGTTCTGGCCGCGAGGCCGATGAGGTGCTTCAAGTGCCTAGCCGCGGGACACACTCGCACCAAGTGCGAGAGCTGTTTTGACTGCAGCGGATTATGCTTCCGCTGCGGTCAACCCGGGTACAAGGCGGCAGAGTGCTCTGCCGCCCCCCACTGCCCGGTGTGTGCGGCGGGTAAAAACCACTGTGCTGCGGCGCAGGATCTCTTCCTGCAAACCATGGCACAGTGGTCGGCAACACTATTGCTATTGCCGTAGTCGCGGAGCCCTATTTTGTCCCTCCCCGTCCTAACTGGATGGGTGACCGGGACGGCTCCGTGGCAGTCGTCGGCTCCACGGCGGCTCATTCCCCGCCCTTGTCGCTAAGAGACAAGGGTACTGGATATGTTGACGCCGATTGGGGGGGAATCACCATTTATGGTGTATATTTCTCCCCCAACCGGAGTTTGAACGACTTCGAGGTCTTCCTTAACAACTTGGAGGCCTCGATGCGGCGACTAGTGTCTGGGCACGTCCTCGTGCTGGGGGACTTCAACGCAAAGTCCATTGCGAGGGGTTCCCCTGCGACGGACGCCAGGGGCGAAGCCGTCGAGGAGTGGGCGGCGTCGGTGGGCCTCTGTTTGCTGAACAGAGGCTCCACAAACACGTGCGTGCGACAGCAGGGGGGGGTCGATAGTGGACCTTTCGTTCGCTACCCTGCAGTCGCCGCACGAGTAAGGAACTGGTGTGTCCTGGTAGAGGTCGAGACGCTCTCGGATCATTTGTACATCCGATTCGAGCTCTCCCGGTCCCAGGACCCCAGTAAGGGTCACGCGGCGCGGCGCCCTTCTCGCTTCCCGCGGTGGGCTGTCGCCAAGCTCGACAGGGACCTACTAGAGGAGGCGGTCATTATTCACTCTTGGCTGTCTCCGCAGGCAACGACCGAGGACGTCGACATGGGGGCTGGTCGCTTCTGCGAAGCGATTACGCAGATTTGCGATGCGGCCATGCCCCGCGTTCGTGGTTGTCGGCCTCCAAGGAAGGAGGTCTACTGGTGGTCCCAGGAGTTGGCGGACCTCCGTGCGGCCTGTGTACGTGCCCGGAGGTCCCTCACCCGTAGTCGGCGACGTCACCGCGGGGTCGGTGAGGAGGTGGACCGGCTTCATGAGGAGTACCGAGAAGCTCGGAAAACTCTGAGGCTGGCCATCTGCCGCGCCAAGGATGTGAGTAGAGAGGAGATGCTGGAGAGTCTCGAGCGTGACCCCTGGGGTCGCCCTTATCGTGCGGTGCGTCAAAAGCTCCGCACGTCGGGCCCCCCCCCTTACGGAGACTCTCCAGCCCAGCTTCCTGCAGGAAGTGGTCGAGGGCCTATTCCCGCAGCGGGCAGAGCACACACCCCCGTCGATGGCTGCATCAGCAGGAGACGACGGGGGCAGCGAGGCTGATGTTCCGCCCGTCAGGGAATCGGAGTTGGGGGCGGCTGTTCTACGGATTAGATCCAAGAACACTGCCCCCGGGCCGGATGGGGTTCCAGCCCGAGTGATGGCCCGAGCCCTCGACTACATGTCGGACCACCTCAGGGAAGTGTTGGACGCTAGCCTGGCGTCCGGACGCTTCCCTGAGCGCTGGAAGTGCGGGAAGCTGGTCCTGCTGAGGAAGCCGGGACGGCCTACCGATTCGGTCGCGGCCTATAGGCCTATCGTGTTGCTGGACGAGGCGGGTAAACTTTTCGAGAGGGTGCTCTCTGCCCGCATCGTCCGGCACCTCTGCGAGGTTGGCCCCGATCTGTCGGACGCCCAATTCGGTTTCCGAGAGGGGCGTTCGACGATCGATGCCGTGATGCGCCTTAGGGCCGTGACCGAGGAGGCCGTGAGCTGCGGCGGAGTGGTGTTGGCGGTGTCCTTGGACATCGCCAACGCCTTCAATAGTCTGCCATTCAGCTGCATCAGGGAAGCGCTCCGCTACCACGGAGTGCCGGAGTACCTGAGGCGACTGGTGGCAGACTATCTTGAGGAGCGAACCGTCATGTACGAGGACCGAGATGGCGTCTTGAGACGCAGGGCGCTGTCGTGCGGTGTTCCGCAGGGGTCTGTCCTAGGACCTCTCCTGTGGAACATCGGGTACGACTGGGCCCTACGAGGGCGTCTC